ATTTAGCTATGAGATAACCGGTATTGGTACAATTCGTATCGGGTGTCATGATTTGGTTGTGAGGATTTTGATGAAAGTAAGACATATACCGGATTTGAAGAAGAATCTAAGTTCTTTAGGCTATCTAGATTCGAGAGGTTATAGCTGCTTGGTAAAAGTGAAATTCTTAAGGTTTCTAAGGGTTTGTTGGTTGTAATAAAAGCAACTCAAATTAATCATCTCTATGTGTTACAAGGTAGTGCAATAACGAGCTCGCAGGGGTGATTCTTCATACTCCGAAAAGAAAATGACTCAATTGTGGCATATGTGCTCGGGCCATATGAGTGAAAGAGGTATGACTACTCTAAGTAAATATGGTTTGCTTCGAGGTGATTAAATGACATCACTTGATTTACGTGAGCATTGTGTCTTAGGAAAGCAAACCGAGTGGAGTTCTCTATTGGCACTCATTCTATAAAGGGCATGCTTGATTACATTCACTTAGATTTATGAGGACTAGCTCAAGTTTCATATAAAGGTGGCGCACTTTATTTTTTGACGTTTATTGATGATTACTCTAAGAAGGTTTGGGTCTATTTTCTCAAACATAAAAGTGATGTTTTTAAAATATTTAAACAATGGAAATTTCTTGTAGAAAATCAAACAGGAAAGAAGGTTAAACGTCTACGAACGGATAATGGCATTGAATTCTATTATGGGAACTTTAATGAGTTTTGGACAAACTCTAGGATTGTCCGATATCGCATAATTAGATACACTCCTCGAGCAAAATTGGGTGGCAGAGCACATGAACGGAACTTTGATGGAAAGAGCTAAATGCGTGCTCTCTAATTCGAGTTTGGGGAAGGATTTACGGGTCGAAGCAGCTTAACACGACTTGTTATCTTATCAATCGTTCTCCCTCTACCGCCATTGATTATAAGACTCCGAACCAAGGTATGGTCGGGTAAACCTAGTAATTATTCAAATTTAAAAGTAGTTAGATGGCTCGCTTATTATCATGTTAAATAGTAAAATTGAACCTAGAGCAAAAAAATGCATATTTGTTAGCTATGTCGATGGGGTGAAAGGTTATTATCTATGGTGTCTTGAACCCAATTCATCTAAATTCATTATTGGTAAAGATGCTACTTTTAATGAGAAATATATGCTTGATCAAGAAAAGGTTATTTGTGAGTCTACATGAGCTTTAGGTGGAGTTTAAAAGAGAGACTCCTTAAAACCATCCCTAGATGTATCTTCTATAGTTACGGATGTGCAACAAAATTCAGATATGAATGAAGATACCAAAAAAACTAAGCGACCTTACTCAATAGCTACCGGTCGAGAGAGGAACAAATAAGACCTCCTTAGAGATATGCTTATGCCCTCACCGGAGTTGAGATGATGGGTATTCGGGAACCTTCGACCTTTACGAGAGGTAGTGATTTGAAAAGAGAGGTTTAACCATGTGAAGGAGAGAGACGTGGTCATGTGAGTTTTTTTTCTCTCTCCCGTGCTTCATGCTTTTGTTCGTGTGAAACATTTATCTTTTGCCTATGTGCCTTGAGCATTTGTCCGTGCATGTTGAGTTTTTGTTGGAGAGAAGGAATTTGTTAGTTCTAATATTGAAGTCGGTATTTTCTCTTTTCACATCTCTCGTTTCTTACATCAAGTTAGCTCACGTAAGCTTAAAGGTGTGTTTTGAGAAATTATTTGACATTCTTAAAGGTTTGTAGAATTCAAGCCAAAGTGAAGATTTATTGTGTGTGGCTTGAATTTTATGGGCTAATAATATATTTAGCCCATCATGTTTTTTTATAGGTATGAGGTATTTAAACCTCCTTATGTCTCTGTTTAGAAAATAGAATGAAAGACCGAGACTTTGTATTGAGTCTCCATGGTTCTTGTATTCTCTTACTATCAAGATAATAAAACTTTCCTCTCCCCCTAAAGTAGATAATTTGTCGAATCACGTAAATCCTGTGTGTTAATAATTTGTTTAGCTTTATCTTTTGATTATTACTTGTTATTATTTGTCTTGTTTTTGCTGTTTATAATAACAATGGACTTATTCACTATAGCATTACTTACCATAACTTTTGAGAAAATGGTTCTCAAGATTGAGATGCGTTGTCTTAAAGATCTTAAATGATGTTTTCAATAAGGGAAGCCTAACATAGAGATTAATGTGTACAAGGAATATTATACTTTTTTTTTCTTTATTAGAATTTTTTCATTGGGTTTTTTCCTGGTAAGGTTTTAATGAGGCATATTTCTCGTACGATGGACATTTAAAAAGGAGAGTTATAAACTAATGAATGTCCATGATAATTTCATATTCTCACTACTCATGTGATTCAATTCACCATTCAATATGAGAAATTGAAAGGGTGATACAATCGATTCAATTATTTATGCATTTTTTAATGGTTCATATTTCCTTTCAATTTTCTTTCTAATCTTGAAACTTATAAATAAGGTTAATTGTTCATTAGCTTGAGTAGATATATTTTGTAGAGATTGAGATAATTATTTAAAGTTCTTATCACTTGTATGCACTTTATTTAATAATGAATTCCTTTTCTTATTATCTTTTTCTTCAATCCTATTATTGTTACTATTTCTTTCGCAACAAATTAAAATTTTTTAAAATATTTGATATATACTTTTAAATTGGATCTTATACAGTACTTCACTTTTCTAATTAGGAGAAAACTATGTGAATTACGTGCACGTACCATAAGATTTATAGCTATTTTTTATTTTTTTTCAATGACAATTTCAAGCATACGCTACGCTATATTATTTTATGGGAGAATATGTTTTCTTGGATGTACGTTGTCAAAGAATATTAAAACTGCCAATATAAATAATTTAATACTTCTTTAGAAAAAATAAAGAATACTATTTGATCAGGATGGAGAGGAAAACAATGAATTTTATAAGAGATTGCTTTCATAACCAAAAAAAAAGAAAAAGAAAAAGAAAAAGAAAAGAAAAAAGAAAAAAGAAATACATCTTAATTGTCAAAATAGATGAAAACATAAGATGAACCAAACTAATAAAAAATAATTAAAGAAAGTAAAAGAGATTGAAAAGAAACAACTATTACAGTTAACGAAGATGGTGAAGAAGAAAATGAACAATTTCCTAAATTCATAATAAAAAAACAAATCAAATATCATAATGTTGTTCAAACTCTGGCTTTCCAAATTCTTAGTTTTATGAAAATTATACTTTATATTATTGTGGGTTAACGATCCGTATACAACATATACTGTAAGCAATTGTTTAATCAAGTCTTCATATCAATCTAAGTATTAATTAGATTCTTGTACTGCATTAATTTATTTGACTAATCGCATATTCAGAAAACACATGTCCTATTATTGTTGACTCTGTTTTTTTTTTTTCTATTTTTTATTACTTAAAACATGTACAAAAGTTATGGGGAAAAAAAAGACAACGAGGTTTTTTTTTCGATTTTTTTTTATTTTCATAAATAATTTAAGTAATAAATATTAACATATATTAAATAATTGCTTGTAGTACATGAACTGCAATCTAAATTATTATAGTAATTAGTAAGTTAATGTAGATTTTAATTAGAAAGGAATATTCCTTTAAAATCAAGTTTGATTTTTGGTCTGATTAATTTATTTAGGGTTAGCAAATCATATATGTTCATTTTAAATTGATAGCCTTGTACTTACTTCTTTGTTTATTTCATCAATTGTGTTCGGGTACGTTCTTAAATATTTTTTTGCCCTTTTACATGGGGCCTTCTTTCAAAATTTAAATAGTTAGCTCAGAAAATCAAGTGCTGAGATGCATCCACTCATAAGGTCCCTTACGTCAGGTCAGAAAATCTTTTGGCAGCAGCTTCTGACCTTGAAATCGATCAAAACAGACTCAGAAAATGCATTAAAATGGGCTTTCAATCGAAACTTCTGCACCTTGGAAATTAAAGTCACCTATAAACAACATTATTGTGCTAAGCAAGAAGCACAAATCAGTCGAATATGTGCACACAAGCAGATCACTTTGTAAAAGCAAGAGTACTAGATCGACCTCAGGATATGGTGACAATGGCTATGCTGAAGACAATTGTACATTAGCTGAAAACAGTGGAAGATAAAACCGTCTGATCTCATGAGCAGGCCTTATACACGAGGACAAAATGCTTCACTGTGGTATACACCAGAACCGGGAAATGTTAATCAAATTCCGTGAAGTGATCAGGTAAACTCTAGGGAACAGTCCAAGCACCATCCGTTTCTTGGTTATAGAACACAGCTCCATGGGTTACCGTTCAACCACATGTTATATGGTCTAATGTACGGTAATCCTCTTTGTCACTTATCATCCAACCATACAGTAAAAACAGCCATGCCAAGGTTGTTTATCAACAAAATTTCATTGGAAAAATACCATTGAATCCAACTAATACTTGAAGTGCCTCGTTGAAGAATAAGTATGGAGCATGGATACAAATAGACTCCTGGAATAAGTTGTGATATTTACTAGTTCTTTACGCTAGAACCCAGGTGACAGAATTAATAACAAAGCTATGGCATGCTGGCTTCCTAGATATCAACTAGACCAAGCAAGAAAACATCTAACTGCCTAGGTTCACTAATTTATCTACTGGCAAATTTTCATAGATCCAAAAACACGCTGACCAACTACAGTACATCGAGCAATGGAGATATCACATAATCCCAAGCATACAAATGCAAATACTTTAGACGAAATAGAAGGTTCTCATCAAACCGAAGCCAATTAGCACATTTATCATTTCTTGGAAAACAGCGGACAGAGAAAACTGCAGAAATGGCAATAATGGTAACATGATTTGGCAATTTAACAAATTTAGGGTGAGATCTGGGACTACAATTCAAGACAATGTTTCTCAATCTTCCTTTTTCCTTTCAAATCCATGATTAATTAAGCATGTTTTGATAGCTTCAAATGATAGCATAATCATTTCCCCCAAGCGCCTCTGGTTACTTCATAAATCAGTCACGTTCACTAATGGCAGTTAAATGTTCATCAATTTCCTCGGTGGACAGCGCTCTGAAAACACGATCACCTGCTCTCACAACTCCCACCTGGTGAAAATCAAACGCTGACAGTTAGAAACCATTTTGCTTCTACATGTCCATTGATTAAAAGGCATCATCATGCCCATATTGTAATGGTCAGAATGTTTAGCAGACGCTGCATAGGGGCATCTCACAGGCAAGTGAATAAAAGGAAAAAAGGAACAGAAAAGAAACACATGCCAATCTTCCAAAATCTATTGGAAACTTAACAGCAGGAAAGCCATCCTAACAAAAGTGGAAATACCAGAGTTCAATCATATGCTACACGTAGGATAAAACAAATTACACTGAAGTTTCATTATTTTTTGAATCTCTGGCTATACAGTACATATAATACCAGTATCCTTTTGTTTTCAGCTATTCAGTCATTTTAATATTAGTGGTCTAGTATCACAAACTGCTGAATGCAAAGAGGGAGACATCAAACCTCTATCTCAGTAGCCTTGAAATCCTCTTGAAGAACAGATTGCAGAGCAGAAATAGCAGTCTGCACAACAAAGCCAATATGCTGTATTAGGACCATCATAAATAGAATGTTACTAGTTCGATACCCGCGCTACGCTGCGGTAAAACAACTGTTGTATACGTAAAATTAACGATTCGTATAATATAGTATGAGTAAAAGTTTTATTTCGATGATTAATATAAATCGAATCTATATATTGAGCGAAATCGTTTGATTTATATATATTTATTAACAAAATATTTAATAATATTAGCATAAAAATTTGTATTTAAATAATTGAGAGGTTATTTCGAAATATTATCTAACTTATTTTATTTAAAAAATAAATATAAAAACATAAGAAAGTAAATAAAAAACAATTGATATTATGTGTGCATATATATAGTTATTTTCTAACAAAATTAATGATACACATACATATATATATCTATACTTAACAAATTCAGAAATAAATAAAATATACCAAAAAAAAACCAAAATTGTATGAAATATATTAAAGTCAACAGATTAAAATAAAAACCACAATAAAATTGATTTCGATAAATTTTGAATAAATATATATATGAAAAACAAATAAAACTTGTGAATTCCACTAAATGATTATTAATTTTTTTTTAAAAAAAGGAGTCGGACTATGTAAAACATATTTTTATCTCCTCTCTCTCTTTATATATATATAATTAGAATTTATAAATTATAATAAAAAACTCATTTTAAAAGCAAAAAGATTAATTTATTGTATAAATTATAATAATATAAAACAACGACATTTTAAAATTTTATTCCAAAATTCATATATTAAAAAACTAAATTTATTAACAAATAAAATTATATCATAAAATTAATTTGATGTGAATTTTAATAAGAAATAAATAATTGAAAAAAAAATTAAACAATAAAAGTAATACAATCATATATATATATATATATATATATATATAATGTTAGTATAAAAAGCTGTATTTGAATAATTAGTTAGTTCTTTTTATAATACACAAATTCAAAAATATAAAACATGAAAGACAAATATTTTAAACTAAATTCTTATAATACAATAATGAATACCCCTAGATTCTATTTTGGATAACCATATAAAGTTATCTCATTAATTAAGAAAACTTTAAATCATGTTAACTATTGCAATATCTAACCTCTATTAAAAATATTTATTTTTTGTTAAATATATTTTAAATTAATCATATATAGTTTAAGGTCATTTTAAATATTTTGAATTAATGAAAAAAATTAGATTCTATTTTGAGTAATCATATAAAGTTATCTCATTAACTAACACAATTTCAAATCATGTTAACTATTGCAATATTCACTCTCTATCAAAAATATTTAATTTTTGTCAAATATATTTCAACTTAATCATATACAGTTTAAGATCATTTTAAACATTTTGAAATTCAAGAAACCAAATACAAACATATTTATAATGTAAGGACCAAAAAAAAAAAAAAAAACTAACTAAACTCACAATATATATTCCATAGAAAAAAAAAGGTGCAGTAGAAGCATTATGATTGAGCATTAATTGCTCTGTCCAAGTAAGGAGGAGTTACAAAAAAATGGGTGAAAAAAGGGAAGGCAAAAAAGGAAAGCAATGGTAAGAAGGCGTGTATCTATACGTCTAAATGTTTAAAAAAAAAAAAAAAAGGAGGAAAAGCCAGCTCACGCCTACCAGGACAGGCCAACTCGCATGTGTGTGTATATATATAGAAAAAAAAAAAAAAGCCACGCCTAGTTGGCACGTGAGCCAAGCCCGAGTGCCGGGCGTGGCCAGCTCTCAACCTAAAAAAAAAAAAAAAAAAACCTACAACTTCCGGCGAACTCAAGGTCACCGGAAGCCTCATCGAAAAATCGGATTTAAAATTTCAGACCCCTAGAAATTGAATTCTAGCATTATTTTTTTCCCCAAACACCTCTAAATGACCAGAATAAAGCCAATAAACACATCTAAAACCTTAAAAATCATTTTAATGTACACTAAAATAAAGAAAAATACACAATCAAATCGGAACTTTTTTTTCTTTTTTGGCTCCAATCTACCTCATCCGATTGTTTAATGGCTTGAAACCACCATGTACAAATTCATCTCTCAAAGATAAAAAAATCTAATGAATTTTCGTCGGTCGAAGTGGCCTAAATATAATTGACCGACGATTTCTCTATCCTCCCGTCTCTCTCGTCCTCCCACCTTTCTCTCTCCACCCGGGGACCAAAATGGATGAGCAAATGAAGATGTGGATCGAAATATTCGTTTGAAAATATCATAGACCAAAGTATAAAAAATTGCATAACTTTCACCCACCAAAATCCAAAAAATCATGAAAATACCGTCGACAGTGCAACTGAGTTTGACGCTACAGTAAATGAATAGTGAAATGTTCACTTCTTTTAGTTTTATAAGAATATCTGGAACAAACATAGAACCCATTACAAATAATCTAAAAGCAGCTTTGCACCAATTTGTCTAATAATCAAACAAAAATAAAAAATATTGATCCTCTGAATTATTTTCTTCTATACTTGGAATCCTCTCACAAGACAAGATATCAAATAATCCATAACCAAAATCTGTAAACTCCTATAAATACACTTGAAATTATTTAACACGAAGAGGGAAAATTAAAAATACTGAGTGGCTATTGCATATTCTATGGCTAAAAAATTCTTGCATGTTAAACTATCTCCAAATCAAGAAAAAGGAAAATAAAAATACTTAAATAGTTGACAAGCAAAGGGCATATTTCTCTTCTGGAAATAACATTAGAGGCCAATGATAAGTTGAAAAAAAAAAAAAAATACAATCCTTTCCAAGAAATAGGAAATGGGCACAAATACCTGCACAGTTTCCTCATAGGAGAAAGCAGGGTCATTTTTCATTTTCTTTTCTAGGAAATTGATAGCCTCTTGTTCTTTCAATCCAGCACTTGTAGCCTGCAACATGAGAAGAGATTTGCATCTTACACCATTAAGTGTATCATAGAAACAGGTAGCTTCATGAATATTAAATTCTACACCCTACATTGGCTGCCAAATCTAGTAAACATTCCTTAGAAGGCAAATTAGCTGACCTAATTAAACAGCAAAAAACAAAAGTTTCCAGATTTTAGGGACCCCAACAGCCTTAGTCATGTGAAATTCAAAAGCATATTGATTAAATTATCAGACATTGTCTCTTCTGAGGATATAGCATCAGCATGTCCATAAAGAATTATTTACTTCAACTTTATCCAAGTTATACGATCATGGAATTCAAAGGAGTACTCATGATACAATAGTGAAACAGCACACTTAGCATAAAGCATCAATAATGAAATGCATTTTGCAAAATGAACAAGTTTGCTAAATACCTTGTGTCCAAAAAAGTGGCCAGCTGGATCACACTTGTAAAGCTGAGGCCCATTCTCTTCATCAATACCCAAAACCATAGCAACTACACAGACAAAACACAGTAAGAATATCAAAATAAATAAATATGAGAATAAGACCAACAGCAGAATTACCAACTATAAATGTCCACAACAAATATGAGAAACGTGCTATGAAGGTGCTGTGTGTAGATGTAATATTCTTAACAAACTAAAGAAATAAGAACAAGAACCCATACCTACTCCAAGAGGTCTCATATAAGCATGCTGAGTATAAACTTGTGATTTGTCCGCAATCCTATATGCACGACAAAGATATCATTGTATGTATAAATGAGATTATTAGTTGCAGTGAAGCAAGGAAAAAAATCCATATGACTATTGATGATAATTTAGCATTTAAGATTATAAGCATGGATAAGAAACATGATTAAATAAGATATCATAATCAGTTGTGTCATAGAGTTGTTGATTTTTATTCAGCCATCTTCCCTCGATGATATTAGAGAGCAGGCATGGGTTAAAGAACAGGAAAAAATGAATAAATTGATTTTTTTCAAAATGGACAGGAACAGTTAAGATGCAAACAGAAAAGGATTGATCCCAGTAATTGAACAAATCTTGGCATCAAACATAATCAAATAGCCGCATGTTCCAATGTATATCATCATGAAAATTACACACATACCATTTGGCTAATGAATCTACAGGCATTTCATATCCATATCTGAACCTAAACTCGGCAGCTTCATTCCTTGCTTGTTGGACTAAGTTCCTTGCATCAGCTAAGAATTCCGAAAAAAAAAAAACCCTTATTAGGCTGTAACTAAAAAACACAATATATCAATTAATGCAATTATCTTTTTCTTACTAAAAAGGAGGTGAAAAGAAAAGGAAGCAGACCAGTCATGCCGGTGGCGAGTAGACCAAGGAATTTTGTAATAGGGAAAAGGTGAGTAACACTAGACTGATCCAAAAGCTTGTCCTGCTCCCTCATTCAATAAATCAATTAGGAAAAAAAATAAAAAACAAACCATAGATCAAGGCAGTTAATAAAAATAGAAAAAAGAGTGATTGACTCACCGGAACCTTCTTTTGAGTAACGACACAGACAGAATCGCTTCCACGAACTCCAATTGAAGTGGTGGAAGCTGCCTTCACTGCCTTGAACGCATACTCTGCAAAGAAAATTTCAATTCCAATTCAATTGAAGCCGAGAGAGAGAGAGAGAGAGCAAATTTCAATTACAGTAATAGACGACAGTACATACCGACTTGAAAGAGGCGACCTTCAGGGGAGAATATGGTGATATGCCGATCATATCCACCTCCGCTTCCTCTACTCATTCTCTCTCAGATTTTCTTTTCTTTTTCAGATTTTTCTGTGCTTTGTTCTAAGAAACAATTGAAGAAGAAGAGAGTTTTAATGGAGAGAGAACTGACTCGCTGGAGAAGAAACCTTGGAAGGCTAAGTCGGTATTTGTATCCCTGTATTAACTTTATTTAGTCAATTTAGTCCTGATTTAAATGATTCATGTAATTAAACTCCATATTTTACGATTGCAGTCAATTGAAGCCCAATATGTAACTTCCATCAGATTAATTCACTAAGTGAGAGCTTAGGTGAGATTTTTCTCTCCAGATGGGGGATCACATTTAAAAATAAAAAAATAATAAAAGAAGAAGAAGATAGTTAAGTAAAATTTTGAAAGAAAGAAAAATAAATAAATAAAGGACACAGAGAATGAATTGTGACTCCATTCCTGGATAGAAAAAAGGTCACCTCAGTCCACTTAACGGAAATAATTGGATGGAAGTGGCATATTGGAGTCAATTGATTGTAATTAGAAAAATGGGGGTTCAATTGAACAAAATATTTATTTTGCTAAACAGCGTCGTTTTATTTTCAGATACCATGCGGGCACAGAGTCTCTCTCTTTAATTAAAAATAAAGAGATATTATACTTACTTACCTAATTACCTCTCATTATAAATAAAATATCTATTAGTAGGAATAATAAAGTGTAATAAATTGACATTAAAAATTTTAACATGTGTGAAATAAGAAAATTAAGACAATCTTCATAGAATAGAATGAGTAATTAGAAAGACTATAATATAATAGCTATCCAGTTGCACTATTTAAAGGAATTCTTCTGATTTTAATTAAGATCATTGAAAATGGTGGTGGTGGTTCCTGCAATACATGTTAATCAATCCAAAATAAAGTAATTGTTAAAACATTTTTGGTGATATAGGATAAATTGAAATCCAATGAGTAAACGCGCGTAATTCATAAACATGTATCAGTACAAGCTCTATGAAATTATTATTATTATTATTATTTTCATTTATATGTCTATTTAGAAGTTATATAAAATTCTAAATAAAATAAATAGACTTATTAAATTACAACACTTTTTTTAATCATCAAAACCCTGAAAATACTTGAAATAAGCTATTCAATATATATATATATAAAAAAACACAAAAACACAATGATAATAAAATAAAAAAACAATTAATCTTTAAACCAAAGGATTCGTGAAAAATATTATTCATGCCACAGCTTTATAATTATATAGAGAAATGCAAAATATGTCAAAATATAATGACAATTAAGGAAAAGGATTCTTTCATTAAGAATGAATCATATTAAGCCATTTAGGACCAGAATATGGTGACTTGGCAATGATATTCATCTCTACTTCCTCTCCTTGTACCTAGGGATGGCAATGGCCGGTTACCTAGTTTTGTATCATAATCATTAAAAAAATATTATACCTATTATCTTATTTATTACTCACTAAGAATTATTTATTCTTTTTTTTATCCAATTTATACCTATTATATTATATACTGCTCATATCTTATCCATACCCATTTACCCGTAATCTTTTTTCCTTAAATTGAAGATTTTTTTTACTAAGATTTATTTTTATTGTTACAAACTCTTTTTATCCATATACTTTTTAATACAATAAGATTTATTTATATATATAATTGGACTTATTTGTATTTTGTGATTTATGCAGACAATATTTTATCAAGTTAAACTGTTTGGGTTTTTTTAACATACAAGTTTCTTAGTCCTAGAACAAATAAAAAATAATAATAATAATTAGTAAATAATTACACTAATGAATTTTGGCTTCATCAAAGTGTTATCCTTGAAAACATTTTTCATATTTAATAGTATCATTGAAATAAAATCCTAATAGGCTTAAATAAGTACCTATCCCTCCAGCAATCTTGTTTAGTTTAAAAATAACAATTTTTATTTTATATTCTTGTAGTAGGTCAATGCTGAGAATGATTTTTCAAATTATTCAAAAGAAATAATATAATGTCACGAGTTTGTTGCCAAAACACTTCTTATCATCCATAGTTTTTTTTTTTTTTAAAAAAAAAAAACTTATAACAATTACAGTCTCAATCAATTTAGTGTCATGAGTTTGCGTTATTTATTTATTTTAAAATTTTGTGTTTTATTTATTTTTTTTTTATGTTAATGGGTAAGTAATGAGTATTAATAAGGTAAAAAAATGATACCTATATACATGAATTAATTGTCTATTGACATAAATGAGTAATACTATTTTATCCATATTTAGTCTATTACTAACTATGGTATTTCTAAAGGTAATTAATGGGTGGGCTAAGTAGGGTACCTATTTTGTGCCTGACCCACTATCATCCTTACTCGTACTCTTATTTTTTGGAATAATTACAATGTAAGTATATCAATTTTTAATTTTTTTTCAATCAAGTATATAAATTTTAATTTTTTTCATTTGAGTACATTAACTTTTTCAAAACTCGTCAATCAAGTATTTATGTTAATTTTTTTCATTAACTGGTGACGTGTATGTTATCCTCAAAATACCAAATTATAATTTTGCCCTTTTTCTCAAGGGAGTACATGAACTTTAATTTTTTAGATTGAATACATCAATTTTTATAAAACTATCAATCAAACATTTTCATTAATTTCTCCATTAATGATGATGTGCCTAAATACCAATTTTTTTAATATATTTTTTGTTAAAAGAAACTTTCTCCTTAAATTATTCTATCATTTTAAAATTTGAAAAAGAATTAAAAAAAATACATACTTCTAGTTATAAAATCTAGAGCTAAAAATAGTAAAACTTGCTCGTTAAAAAATATTAATTAGATTTTGGGCGTGAAAATTGAAGGAAACACAAATGCAAAATTTTTCATCGAGGAGATCCATTTGTGTTTTTTTTTTTCAATTTTCACTTTTAAACCTAACCGAGTTTTTTTTTAACGGTAACCTAATTGAGTTTAGTTTGAAATTTTAGAGATAAAAATTAATAAAATAATTTAAGGAGAAAGTTTCTTTCAACAAAAAGTGGGTAAAATTATAATTTCATATTCAAATACATCATTAATTAATGAAGAAATCATAGAAATACTTGATTGATGATTTTGAAAAAGTTGATGTACTCAAATTAAAAAAAACAAAGTTCATGTACTCGATTAAGAAAAATAATAAAATTATAATTTGATATTTTGAGTATACCAAATACGTCATCAATTAATAAAAAAAATTGACGAGAATAAAAATATTTGATTAATAATTTTAAAAAAATGTATTTAAATAAAAAAATTAAAATTTATATATTTGATAGATTAATAAAAAAATTAACAGAATAGAAATATTTGATTGATAATTTAAAAAATATATATTTAAATAAAAAAATTAAAATTTATATATTTGACATAGAAAATGTTAAAAGTTAGTATATTTACAAGGTAATTATCATCCTTCGCCCCCCCCCCCCTCTCTCCTCTCTCTCTCTCTCTCTCTCTCTCTCTCTCTGTCACAACACAAAAAAAATCATATTCCCAAATGCTGGTCTGGATAATATGAAAATCAGTATGCAACCAGTAATTGTATTGCAAGCATACTTCATGAAATATAAGGCTCCATCTCAAACATAGGCCTTTTTCATTCACGTGGAATCAAATCACTCTTTTTTATGGGATAGATATAGGATAGTGACTTACTATGCACTAGCGTCCACAATCTAATCTGATTTCTCTTTTCAATTTGCATGTGACCTTGCACACCGGCAGATACAGGTGTTAAGACCCCAGTGGTTTGCTCACTGTCAAAGCCGATGGATCAATCTTTTTCAAGCTCTGAACTAGTTATGATATGCACATACTAATCGATTACAGCCAAGCATGTGAACAAATGTCATGCAATATGTTGGCACATTTTTGTGGCTATAGTTAATTTGCCGTATGGTTGATGGCTCTTGGAAGCATGGCTTGAGCAGGGGAGATGGATGGTATCTGCTAGCTAGTGATCCATCGATACCCCTTTAATACAGCTATTTACAAAGGTGGGTTTGGCTTGAAATCCACAAACATTTACAAAGGTGGGTTTGGCTTGATTGTGCAGGATTGTTAGGGGGTAAAGGTTTTTTTTTTTTGTTCTTATTTAATTTTTTTAGAAGGAAGGAGGTGTGGGATGAGAAATTTTATAATATAAGGATTAATTAGTGATATATATAATAATTATTCTACGAATTTATTATGAAAAGAGGTATACACAAATTAAATTATATTTAGATTCATAAAAAATGATAAGAAGATTTATACACTCGTTCAATTTATATATATATATATCTCAAAATGAATCCATTAAAATAATTATTATATAAATCATTAATTATTCCTTATCTATTATAAACTTTTTGGTGTGAGGACCATGCAAAAACCTTTTATAAGCTTTTATTGCAAACGTTAGAAGGGTTATTCGCCTTTGTGCTAGGCCCCCTCGAGATCCATTCATTTATAAAAAAATATGGTTAAAATGAAGTTTGTTCTTCGAGGGGAGAAAAGAAAATGAAGCTTAGATTGAAATTTTCAGTTATTTAATTACTAATAAAGAAAGAACTTCCAAAATGACCCATAATTGGAAATTTGGAAACATCATGAGTCAAGAATGTAGGCTGATCCTGTCGGATTCTATCTTAAATGCTTTAGAAATATGAACCCTTACATGACACATGGGTATGCCGTTGGGCTTAGTATGTTGGCCCATGCATCTTGCACACATCCTTTTCTCAAATGGTCCAGCAATTTGATGGTAAGTTGGTCATCTTGAGGCTTCAATTTTTAATTTTTGTTTGATTGTTTTCTTGCCCATTGAACATGGTTGGTCCACAATGGTGCCCACGCCCTGCCAAATGATTTAGTGCTTCAAATTTAAGGCATAGAAAAAGGGAAGAACTAAGAAAAAATGCAGGCTTCGTGTGGCAGGATCTTGGTGAAAATATTAACTTTTTTTGTCCTCATAACATAGTTAGTAC